AAATAACTCAAAAATCTCACTCAAATGTCAAATCCCTTGACATATAAGCATGACATGGCAATATTTTGCCATCCAAGCAGCCAAGCGGGTGTGCCCCAAACGGCAGTAAAGCCAGGCGACGGAGTCCAAATGGCAGTTAAGTTGGCATAAGAAGGGCTTAATTGCTTTGATCCCAGAGTGCAAAATCCCTTGACATATTGTTGACGACCACTTAAGATTTTTTGAAAATAAATTGAAAAAATCAAGTGTGAAAATATAAAAGAAAAGGGAGTCGTCACTCGTCCAAATTATAAGGTGGGACAAGTCACTTAAAACAGGTCTGCATAAAGATCGAGATTTGAAGGTTCGGTTAGGAGTGAGGAAGAGCATATGCGCACCTTACAATCCTCCATTTAAACACAGTTGCATACTAATCCTCTATTTAAACACGATTGCATACTAATCCTCCATTTAAACACGGTTGCATACTAATCCTCCATTTAAACACGGTTGCATACTTTAACATTGGGAGTTTTGAATCAACTTATTTATTATGTTTATGTTTGAGTCTTAATAGGTAAACTTGAAAAAAAAAAAACTAAATCCAAACATTTTTTTTTTATTTTTGGACTAAAATAGACAAACTCAAGAACATGCATACACAATAAACACAAATAAAAATTAAATGGACTAATTTGATTAAATAAAAAAATAGAGGATTGATTTGAAAAGAGTTGAGACCCATCAACTAAATTTCTTAATCATGAAAGTTTCTGGATGAAATTGGAATAAAATAAAAGATATCTTTGACTTTGACCAAAATTAAAGTTAATTGAGAATTAAAATTAATTAATCAATATAATTAGTTTACTTGAATAATTAATTTAACACTAATTAAAATTAATTAAAATTAATTAATCACATTTACTAATTATTAACTTGAGATAATAAATTATCTAATTATCTCAAATCAAATTCAATAAATATGATTAATTTATTTTAATTAAAATTAATTAACTTCATTAATCATAAATTAAACTAACTCCCCTACTTAATCAATAAATATGTATTTTTTACTTTTTAACCTTTTTAGTTTTTATTTTTGTTCGATTGGGTCGGGTTGACTCGACCCACAAAAACACAACCCATCAACCTATAATACGCAAAACAGATCAAACACCAAACAGAACAAGTCTGGTTCATCTCCTTTCTACCCC